GTTGGAATAGATGATGGTCAAGGATCCTTAAAATTTGTAATGAATGTTTTTAATATAGAAACAGATATTGACTGTCGAGAAAACAAAAATACTGGTGTTAATAAAGTTCTGGTATTGGCATTTGTCAAAAATGTTACTGAAAATCATGCGAACCTTCAGATAATTATCGAGAAAATAATGCTCAACAGACTTAAGTTCTACTTAGTTCTATCTTAAACTGCTAAATATAATATTAGGCTTATCAGGACATGGAGGTAAATACTCTTGTTTATATTGCAATAGTGATAAGTCAAATTTGGGAGAATTGAGAACTTTCAAAAAGTTAAAGTTGCTGTATGGAAGTTTTGCTGAAAATGGATCTAAGAAAAGTTCTATGCAGATCTAAAAAAATGTAATACATCCATGTCTGCTTGATGTAGCTGAAGATACACATGTACTTGATGTAGTTCCTCCACCAGAACTTCATTTGCTGATGAAGATTGTTACAGAGATTTCTAATGTTTTATGTAAAGAACCAGAAATTGCTGCATGGCTAAGTAACCATGGGATAATTTGGCATGGATATAATGGAGGTGGGTTAGATGGTAGAAATGCTAACAAAATTCGGAAGCTATTGCCTGATTTGGAACAACATATTTTTGACCATTATCCTTTTTATCATCCAGTTGTTGAACTGTTAAAATCGTTTTCTATAGGTAATTTATACATATACACACACCTCATACACACATATATATATTTATTGTGTATGAACTATTTTTTCAATTTAAAACATGATTTAAAAAAATATGATTAAACTTCATCATTAACCATGAAATTTTAGTTGTCGATAAGTGCTTTGGTATGAAACTTCATGAGGGTTATGCAGGTGCCATTGCAATGTATGTTAAGAAGTTAAAGGTAAATTAAAATTTGAAAATAATTTTAGGAAAGTAATTATTGAATATGATGTAGAAATAAACATGAAAACAATTCTTATTTATAAATATTATGTCATAGGCATATTAGCTATTTATTTTTTACTTTTGATTTAGGAAACTGAAATTTATGTTAAAGTTAACTTTAACCACAATCTCTCAATGGGGTGGAAAGGTCATATTATTGAACACCACCTTGTTATTTTCTTAAACAATATTAGAATGCCTCTAGGTGTATTTGCTGAGCAATGTTCCAAATCTGTTCATCACAACATGCTTAAAACTTTGAGTAGATTCGCAACATCTGAATCCAGATCAAACCATGGAGAACTACTGAGAAGAGCGGTGTTAGAATATTCAAGCAATAGAGTGTAGATGATTTGATATAAATCAATCATTGGATTTTCTTATTATAATACGATTACTTATCTTTTATGTAATATTGTATATGTCTTGTAAATTATACTTTTTGTATTATATTTTGTATATTTGTTATTTTAATACTCCATAAATTCATTTCTAAATTATGTTGCTTTTTCTGTAAGTTTATCCATAAGCTTAATTTTGTTTATGAGCTTGATTGTTAATTTTTCATGGACTTTCTTATTTTAATATATTCTAGTTATATTTTATTATGTCTTGGACATTATAATTGTATTATATTATACATATTTGTTATTTTAATACTCTATAAATCTATTTAAAAATCATTTAGATTTGCATTTTAACAAGTAAAAACAAAAATATTTTTTGAAGAAATATAATAATTTTAAAATTTTCCCCAATAATATTTAAAAAAAATTTGAGGAGAGGGAAAATTTGCCCCAATTCCCTAAAAAGTTGATTTTTTCATCAGGATGTACGCCAAACAATTCGTTCTCTCCATAGATCAGTCTGTTTATCATTCCTTAATATCATGAAACTAAAATTTTTGAAGTAATCAAATTTTCAACCTAAACCTACTACATTTGACTAGTGTGTTGTATATTTTTAAAAACTTTTAACTTTAACATTAAAGATTTAGCTAAGTTACCATTAATAATCTTTTAAAAACAAAAATGTGGCTAGTAACAAACAAAGATGTGGCTAGCCATATATTGATACTTTGTACAATGCTTTTTTATTTTAAGGATGAGTAAATGATGTCACACAAAGATTTATTCAAGATATCTCATGTGTATTGAATAAAAAAGATCCAATAATAAATGAAATGCATTAAAAAAAATTTAAAAAAAACGTTCGAAATTTTTTTTACCTGCTCACTATAACTGCATCCAGACGATTCTTGAATAAGTGCAAAAAAATTAGTGTTGGGAAGATCCTTTTTAGGAGCAGGATAAAGATGGTAACATGCATTATATGGTATTGATAGATCAAGTGCACCCTTAAAGATAAATGTAAAAAACAATAAAAAGTAAATTAAAGAAAATGTTTATTCAGCCTATACTTTTTTAGAGTTTTAAATATTTGACTTAAAAAAGCACATAAAAATATTCCAACAAAAGATTTTATGTTATTTTATATTTTTAAGTGCTTAAGTAATAATTTGTACAACATTAGTTCAAAATGTCAATATTTTAGACTCAGCGTGAACTTCCTGATTAAATGCACTTCTGTGGTGCTCTATGACAACACCGTTAGTCTTCTTGAGGCATCTAATAATAACCTAAAAAATATGTGGTAAGGCTTAATATGTGGTAAGCATTACCACTTTTTTTTTTTTTTTTTGTTATTTAGGTGCCCCAAGAAGACCTAACGGTCTTGTCACATATCATAATATGTGGTAAATCTTATGTAAGGCTTATGATATGTGGTAAGACTTATGATATGTGGTAATTCTTATGAAATGTGATAAGGCTTATGATATGTGGTAAGTCTTATGATATGCGGTAAGTCTTATATTGTGTGGTAAGTCTTATGATGTGTGGTAAGTCTTATGTTATGTGGTAAGTCTTATGTTGAAAAATAGAATCAGATGCCAATTACTTTTAATTTACAATGCAAAAACTCAACTAAAAATCTTTAAAAAAAGTTTTTAAATAAAGATCTTAAAAAATAAAAACTTTGATGAGACTGAATAAGAGATTATTTTATTAAGAAAAAGACTTTTTTCTTAATAAAATAATCTCTTATTTCAACCCAAAAGTGATCATTTTTTTTTCAAAAAAACATGATCACTTTTGGGTTGGCTTTTTAGTTATATCGTTATATGGTTGAGATAAAACCAGGTTGTTATGTATCAACCTTATGTAAATAATATTTATATATATATTTATACAAAAATTAAAGATACCGAAATGCCTTCAGTCGGCATACTTCCAAAATCAGCTTCCACATCATGAAACATTAATTTTGACAAGTTGCTATGAGCAGGTGGATACTGAGAAATAAAAATACAAAAACAATTAAAAATAAGATAGTTATTAGATGCTAATCAGAAGAATAAAAGTTAAAAAATATAAAAGAAACTGAACAGTAGCATCTCATTCCTGATTTAAAATTAATTAAATTGAAATTTAATTAATTTTAAAATGCTTTTTACATTAAGTTACTTTTGAAAAAAATTTAGTTAAATTCTCTCTCTCTCTCTATATATATATATATATATATATATATATAGAGAGAGAGAGAGAGAGAGAATTTAACTAAATTTTTTTTCTATATATATATATAGAGAGAGAGAGAGAGATAAACTACTGCTGGGTACAGCACTATAAACTTTGATTATAAGTTTACTGCTCAATATTTTATAACTATCAAATTAAAAACATTAAGTAGGTATATTTTTGCCCGTTTTATACAACTTATATTTAACAAAAATACGGACAAACTATTATTAATTAACGCAATAGTTAACACATTTTTTAATGGCTTAATTTAAATAGTAATTTAAGTTGTCAAAATGTTGTAACACGTGTTAAAAAACATATTATATTTGGTATTTCCCAATTTATGTGTCGTATTTGGCATTTGTCTCTTAACATGGAAAATTAAAAACTAACAAAATTGAAAAATACAAGTTTTCAAGCAATTTTCCCTTCCAATTCTCATTTATTCAAAAAAAAGTTACAATTAAACTTTTATTTCTCGTATCTAAAAAAAGAGAGTGACGCAAAAAAATATATATATTCTATACAACTCTTTTCATTTGAAAATTAGTTACGCAAAACTTTTCTTTCTCTTTTGTTCTATTCTTTTATAAAAAGAGCGCACAATGGAATAAAAACTTTTCTTTCTTAACATAGAATTAAACTTAGAGATAAAATTAAATTAGAAATAAATCAACAACCAGCAAAGCAACTAACAGTTTAATCTGGGACTATTTTGATATTGATGAAAATATTCAACATAAACAACATTACCAAGAAAAATAATCAAATAAACAACACAATATCACATAACTTTAGGGGCTTTTTATTTTTATTGCTTAGTCGTTCTAAATAATAAATAAATTTAGTTTAAGGTAATATTTCAATATTTACAGTTGCAATATAATAAAAAAAAAGATGTTTAATATTGAACTTTTTATTTAGTTATTTATTTTTTACCTACATTTTTTATAAAAAATTTTAAAACATCCGTCATTAAAATAATTTGTTTTAAATATATTTTGACGTGATTATTAAAAAAAATTTTATTCATTTGACTTCCCGAACTTCATGCAAAGCAAATTCAGACGAAATATCATCTAACCAAATAAAAATGCTGTTACTAATTTTATACGGGTAGTTAATATAAAACAATTTTTTATCAGAGTCTTGATTGAGATAATAAATATTCATCATTTATTAACATTAAATATAGCCCAATAACAATTTATAGCAATGAACCAGCATAAAGTATTTAAGGTTTTTAATATCTTTTTAAATGTTAAGTAAAAAATAAATAACTAAAAAAATAATGAAAAAATTTATGAATAAAAATAAATAAAAATTTTTCCAGAGTTTCATTTGTCAAAAGTCTACCGTGACGTCAAATACTAAAACTTTTATGAATTATATGCGCTTCAAAGGAATTGCTCAAGTCTGCAGATTGCGATGTATAATTTAAAGACTCCAAGTTTTTGAATAAAATGGAGAAGGC